TTCCTTTTTCAAACTTGCTAATATATTTGTCATATAATGGGAGTATAGAACTTTCATTTTCTTGTTGATACAGCTAACTCTGAGAGTGTCTATGACTTTTCAGTGTTTTGACTCATTCATTTTAATTTAACTGGAGTCAGGCTTTCCTATGTGAAGTGCTATTTTCCTCAAACTGGGAATGTACTAATAATTTCAAATTAAAAAGAGCTTGTGGCAAAAGGACTTTTCCAATTCTTGGCAAGTGTGAAGTTCATTGCAATTATGCTGTGGATAGAAATCTTTCCAAAGAGGGGAAATCACTCTACAAAGGCACACTTTCAATCCATTTCTCTCATGTGACTTGAACATGAAATGATTTTAATAGCCATGTGTGAATCTGGACATTATTCTTAGTTGTTTAGTACTTCAAAAGCACTTTCAAGAGGGAATTGTTTTGCTTATTCGTGATTCCAAATCAAATACACAGAGAGATTTGGAAGATTTGCAACAGGAAGTAATCTCAGTTCTATGTAGCCACTAATCTTGTGTAGAAAAATTCAGCGTTTATGAACAAAGGAAAAGCGGTCTCTTTTAAGTTATAAATATAAGCCAATGTAGGTTGTATTGTTTAAATAATTAAAATGAAGAAGCTGTTTGTAAGTTCATTTTTTTGAGCTGCATTCCTAGAATCATTTTAGAATTGGCCTGGTTCTGAGACACCTTATTGAACAGATCTTTTTCTTACAAGAGTACCCTCTTCCTACATGTTATTACGATAATAGTGATATAGTGTCTGCATAGATTTCTAGAGTCTATATAACCTTGACATAAGTTAACTGCATCCAATTCTGATAATTCTGTGAGGTAAATATTCCCATTATATGTGGATAAGTGAGAGGTATAATGGTTTCCCCAAAGTTATCTAGTTAATAAGTAATAGGGCCAGTATTAGAAGCCAGGTCTTCTGACTGCAAATCTGATGCTTTTCCCGTCACATCATCTTACCTTTTTGTGCTGCTTTCTTAGTTGGACATCACACTGTTGGCTCTGTCAAGTTTGTATCTATTTAAATCTCTAGGTCTTTTACATATGTTGTTTTTAAGTCAGGTTCTCCTCATCCTGTACATCTGTAATTGATATTTTTGAACTTAAATACTGGACTTTGTTTATCCCCATCCATTTTCATCTTATTATTTTCTACTTATGGTTCTAGCCTTCTGAAATCTTTTCAATCTTGATTCTATTATCCAATTTATTTGTTATTCCTTCCAGCTGTTTGTCAATAGCAAATTTTATAAGTAGAATGTCTTTGAAGTTGTAGAAGCCATCCTAGTAATCTCTAGTATACGCTGTGCTTATCACATAGTTGGAACTTAATAAGTGGTAATTGATTTTAAAAAAAGTGATTTTTGTACAGGACAGGGAAAAGAAAATCTGCATATAATCATTTATGTAAAGAAAAAACCCTCAATATACAAAGGGGGGAATTCTGTTGTGTTTATTTCTCATATTTTAATACATTTATAAATAATATTTTTCATGGTAGAAAAAGTCATTAATTATTTTTCTTTTACATCTGAATTTGTTTTCAGTACTTCAAGAATCCATTGCCTGTGATGGTAGTTTTCTGAAATTTTACTGTGGTCACTGAGGATTCTAGAATTTGTCTATGGAGGAGCCTGAATTGAGGAAATCTAGTTGTAAGGAGAGCTATCACACTTATTTTGTGACTATTTGCCCAGCAAGCAAAGATTTTTTTACCTAGACTATATGTTAAAAATTAATAAAAGTAATGAAACATTCTAAAGAAATTTTTATTCCTGCTAAACATGAGATTGAAGAAACATTAGTTTTCTGTACTAAATAATATAATTATTATTTAGTATTATATTTTTATTTAGCATGTTTTATGGGTGGTGCTCATGAAGGTTTTGCAGTGAGAAGCTAACATCTCCCAAGCTAACTCTAGGTGCCATCACTACTGGGGTACAAAGAGTGATCCAAGCCAGCCACTCAGCATCTATTTGCCTGCGTGGTCTTACTATACTCTTTATAACTCTTTATAAGCAATAAGTTTATAATTCTCTATAAGCCATAACTTCTGTGAAGTGAAAATAATGTGTGAAAAGATAATATCAACAGTTAGTACTGGTGTTGCAGGTGGAAATAAAAGTTCATGGATAATGCTACAATTATGTAGTATAACATAGAGTCAATTTTATAAATAAAACTTATTTAAATAGGTTTATCAAGTGCTTTAAATCTGTAGTTATAGGATTAATAAAGTCCAGAAAGAGCTACTTAAAGTCTTCAGTTATATATAGGGCATCTTGTGGTAGAAGCTATATAATAAGTGTTGCATTCATAGGGATTCATGAAGGTAGTGGGTTGTAGTCCCATTTGTTTTTGAGAGTCCATTCTGTTCAACTTTTTAAAAAATAGTTTTTGATCTTGTGTATTTTCACGTTTATTTTCAGTTTTGTACATTTTTATGCTTAAATGGAAGATAAAATTCCAATTGTCTAATGCTTCATGTAAGCACATGAAACATAATTTTTAGTGATCTGGGAGATGGAGACTGTCACAAACCTCATTAGTCAGAAACAAAATGTGTCATCCTAATAAAACTTGCTTTTATGAAGCAGCTGGACAAGCGATTATTCTGACTTTTTCTAAGCCGTAGTCAGTAGATTTCACTGCTGTTATCTTTACAAACATCTGAGTGAATTAATGCATCGATCTCTGAGTATATAACATAATATACAACTACTCAATGAATAATGTAAAGTCATGCTGTTTTAGATTTCATGACTGTATCAACAAATACTCTGTAAGTGGTAATCAGGGTAATGTAGTTACATTCAAAGTTTTAAATTTTTGAATTATTGAAGTCATCATTATTGAATTATGTATTTGAAACTTTGTCTATTTCATAAAACGATTTCAGGTGACTTCTATTTGGAGACATCTCTCCATTAAACCTGAATGGTATTACACACCATCTGTAATTGTTGAAATCGGCATTATTTATATAGGCTACTTTGTTCTAAAATTAATTTCTATACCCCAATAGCTCACTGGTTTATGTTTGTGGAATACATTTCCAAAACTACTTTTTTTGGCATCTTTTTCAATGGTCAAGAATTAAGTTTATCTTTGTAATTTTCTTCTATTTGTGTAGAAAGTTAGGCCCTCCTATTTGATATTTGAAGATAAATGCAAGAGTATATTTTGAATTTCTGACCATTAAGTCACTTGGTCAAATCTTTCTAGAATGATATATTGAATCCTCTTTCTTGTTTTCCTAAATGCTCGAGAAATAATGTCTTTCCTATATCATTTTGTTTTATCTTGTAGTTTATTTCTTTGCTAGTTTCCTGTTGTTGATTGGCCTCACCTAATTCTTTTCTTCGTCTTAGCATTTCTTCCCTCCCTAATTTCCTGAATTTTATGCTATTTTTTCCAAGAGTTGTGTTCTTCTTAGGATGAAGAACTTGTATTTTTCTATGATTATGTATATCACCTGTATTGTTATTTTACTTACAATAAGATGCTCCAAAGCAGCACTGACATAGGAATGTGTAACAAAGCCCTATAGAGTCTAAAATTGATTGTTTTGTAACTGTTACCAAAAAATAAAACATAAAAAAATACATAAAGCTAGTATTTTGGAAAAGAACAAAAATGCTAGCCATAGCGATGAATGAGTTTGCAAACTATGAGATATAAAAGGTTAGAGGTTCTCAATGAGTAATAGAATTTCTAAGGGAAGTTGTTATACTTTGATTACTATAGAGTGTGTGTCCATCTAGATGAAGAAATAAAATAATGAATAAATGGCATATTTTCTTCTTTCTGTTACCAGATGAAGCAAACTTTAATTAGATCCCAATTTGCTTGTACTTATAAAGATGACTACATGATAAGCAAGGATAATTGGAATAATGTTAATTTAGCACCAAAGCCTTTGTGTGTGCTTCACATGGAAAATGACCTTTCTGGTAATTGACCTTATTTATGCAATTAAATAGCAATTTAATTCTAGTCTACTAATTAGTTTTAACTTAAGTAAAATTAGATTATTTTTGCAAAGTACTGTGAAATGTGAAAGGTTATATTTGTAAAGACCTCAGTTTATTTAAAAAGTTAAATCTAAGTACAAATTTATGGATAGGAATAGGACATAGTTTGATTTAACTAAATGTGTTTAAGAAGTAATTTGTAGCATATGTTTAAGGATTAAATGTCATGCATTCAAACAAATATTTGTTAGTAGGGCTGACAAGTTGATTACTGGCCAAAGTTAACTCAGAGGTGCTATGGTAAAATTAAAAGTAATGGGATAGTAATGTAGCTGTATTTGTTAATCATATTATTTATAACATTATTTTACTTTAAAAATAAAGATTTGAATATTCTTTAGCCATTTTTAGAGTTTATTGTAAAGTTCTCGTGAATATTAGTACTAAATATTATATAATTCCTTTCCACTTTTTATCTTGCATAACAGAGGGTGTAAATTCATCTGTTGGAAGGTCAACAATTGGAAAGAGTTTTGGAAATGTTCATCTGGACAGAAGTAAAAATGAAAAAGTATCAAGAAAATCAACTAGTCAGACAGGAAATAAAAGCTCAAAAAGGAAACAGGTGGATTTGGATGGTGAAAATATTCTCTGTGATAATGGAAATGAACCACCTCAACATAAAAATGTTAAAATACCTAAGAAATCAAATGATTCACAGAATAAATTGTACAGCAAACTAGCTAAAGTAGCAAAAAGTAATAAATGTACTGCCAAGGACAAGTTGATTCCTGGCCAGGCAAAGTTAACTCAGTTTTTTAGACTATAAATTTGTGTCTTATATGCTTTAGGTTTATGTATCTATAAACCATTCACCAAAGACATGCTTAATTTTTAAGAGATCAAGGTGTAAATTATGATGATTTATTATTTTGGTCTACAGTGTATGTAAGGTTAGTATGTTAAGCATTGTTTAAAAATACTAGTAAGTCATAATTATGCAGAATTTTCACAAAGTTTAATGCACAGTAAAAGCATATAATTTCAGTTACTGATACATCTTAACACTACTTTCTTTTAAAACAAACATTTAACATGCACAAGTTATAGTAGCATTAGGGGCTTCTCCTTCCATTGACAATTAAATGCTTTTATTTTCTTCTGAAAAGATGATGTGGACCAACAGGTATCAGACTTGCCAACAAGGTCGGTAGACTCTTCCCAGCATACATCTGAGCACTGAAGGAAGAAGAAAGTTTAAATTGTTTAAAGGACTATGATTATCACACAAAATTTATTAAGAAAAAAGAATGGATCTAGCATAACTAATTCTGAGTAAACCAAAATGATAATAATTAATTATTGCTATTCAATCCCACATTTTTGGCAGGTGTAATTGAGCCATGGTCTTATTTGATTTTGTTATGATTGCATCCAAATTCGCTTTAACTCAGAGTTCTGTTTAATGGTGGTAGGACGTAGAATTGAATTTTGAAAAGACTACTCACTGTCAAAATCTCTCCTTCCTATAGGAAATTTAGCTGAGTTTTCTTCATCCCCAATTTCTCTCTTTTCTTGTGTTGATTCAGTATTCTGAACTCCATTTTCAGCTGGAAAAGCTACAGATCCTTTTAGTGCAAGATAAGGTTTTATAGCCAGATTCAGTGGCAGACCATGATTTAAGAAATTATGTTTGGAGCCTGTGTTCTGTAAAGAGAAAGTTGATTTGTTTTTTAGCTATCGTATTCAGAGTGGAACTGTAATAAACTGCATAATATTCTTGTCGATCAATTCAAAGATGCTCTGCACTGTTTTTGACTCTTTAAAAATACCTTAGATGCAAATTTATAGGAGAAAAAAAAACCTTTCAGATAAGAGGGTTTTCCAGGATGGAAGAACTACCTGGCATGCAAGAAATATCGTCAGTTGTCCTAATGCATATTGTGACTGCATATACTTCTATTTATAAAAGTATTAGTTTTACTTTTCAGAGGATTTGTAAGAATCATTTAAATTTTCATTGAAATAAATGACAAGTCACATTGCCACTTACCTTTGAAATTTTGTTTTCCTCTTCGTTCATGAAACTGCTCTCATCGTTTTTATATTGTTCCAGGGAAGGAGCAATAACTGATTCTTCTGCAGTGTCTTCCTTCTGAAAGGCTTTCCCCAACCTGAATGTATTAAATACCATGTCATCGTCTAAATTTCTTATGGGCTTGGATGCTGAAAGTAAAATACCTTGAGAAAACAAAGAAAAAGTTAGTATTAATATGTAGGAAGAGAGATTCATTTTTGCCATTCTTAGTTTGATGTTCGCATACAGTCAAACAAGAAAGAAAATGAAAAATAGCCTGGTTGGCAAACGATTCTGTATCTTTATATATTTTCCAGCTTGAATAAAAAGTACTTCAAAGAATTATACTTTTCATCATTTTGGAAATGACTCAACAGATTGAGGCTAACCTTTATGCAGCTGCTAATACCTATTGTTTTGGTTTTAGTGGCACGTTGTTTATTTTGAGTGTGAATTTTCTCAGCATCTGATTAAGATCCTTGGTAGAATGCTTTCTGTTGAGTAGATTATAGTCTCTTGAAAATGGGTTGTTATTAAGGAAGACCACAGGACATCAGGCTCTCTCTATATTATTGTTTCCTTCCATGTATTTTCTGATTAAGTAAAGATATTAAAACTCAAGTTATTTCACTCAAGGATGATAAGGATAAAGTTTTATTTCCTTTTAATCCTGATTAAACTGAAATAATCCTCAAAAGGGATTTTCTTTTATAAATACTTGATATAGTCTTTGGTGATTAAGGTACATATGCCTGTCAGTGTGAACAAAAAGCCATTCATGCTATATCAAAAATTGACCTGTCAGGTGTGTTTTATCTCTGCATTTACAAAAGGATAATAGGTACAAATATTTGTTAATGAATTTAGCAATTAATGAATAAGTACATGAAAATAATATTTATGTGCCCATAAACATTACTTTTGGATGATGAGTGTATATTGTATGACTTAATTAAACATTTCAGAGCTAATTTCTAATTTTGACCCCAATGAGTAAGATAATACATTCTTTTATATGTCTTCTGGTACATATATGTAAGAATTTTTCTAGAGTATATTTCTCAGTATGGAATTGCTGGGTCATGGAGTATGTATATGTTCAGCTTTACTAATGCCAAAATGTTTTCCCACATACTGGTAAGCGATTTGTGCCTCCGATAAACAGGGTATGAGCATTTCCATTGTTCTATGTCCTAGCTGACTCTTAGGCATCTCATTGTCCTTTTAATTTGTATTTTCCTAATTACCAAAGAGGTCAAGTGTCTTCCTATATGTTTATGAGCCATTTATGTTTCCTCTTATGTTAAATGCTTTTTTTTTTTTTTTTTTGCTTTGTCCATTCTTCTATTGGGTTGCCTTTTTCTAATATATTTATGGGAGTTCTTTATATATTCTGGATATTAATTGTTAGTTATATATGTTGCAATTATTTTCTCAGTTTGTGACATATTTTCAACCCCTTTATGGTGTCTTTTGGTGAACCAAACTGATTAATTTTAATGTTAAATTTTTTTCTTTTTTCTTTATGGCAACTACTTTTAATGTGTTGTTTTTAAGAAATCCTTCTCAATCCTTAGATTATTAATGTGTTTTCATATGTTTTCTTCTAAAAGTTTAAATATTTTGACTTTCATGTTTAGGTTTGTAATTCATCTGTAATTTTGTGTATGATATAAGATAGAGATGTAATTTTACTTTTTCCAATGTCCTTATATATTTCTCGAAGAATTCGTCCTGTCCCCACTAATCTGCAGTGCCATCTCTGCAGTATATCAGATTTCTATATATGTGTGGGCTTCTTTCAGAATGTTCTATTCCACAGCTAAATCTACAGTATTAATATAACTTTAAAATAATTTTTAATACTTGATAGGTCAAATTTCCCAGCCCTCTACTCACCCACATGTGTTTCTTTTTCAGTAGTTCCTTAGCTATTCTTAGTCATTTATTTTCCATATAAATCTTAAAATCAGCTTTTCAAGTTCTGTAAGAACACTTGACAGGATATTAAGGTTCAAGTTAGGTATCCCTTATCTGAAACACTTAGGACCAGAAGTATTTTTGGATTTGGGATTTTTTTTCAGAATTTGGAACATTTGCATTATATCAGTTAAGCATCCCAAAATCTGAAATCTGAAATGCTTCAGTAAATATATATATTTTTTAGCATACTGTTAATGCTCAAGAAGTTTCAGATTTTGGAGCATTTTTGGATTTGGGGTTTTCAGATTTGGGATGCTCAACCTATAATCACATTGGTTTTAAAGATTAATTTTGGAGAAGGATTGATATCCTGAAGGTAATTTATTATCTATGAGCATGGCATTTTTCTATATTTGCTTAGATCTTCTTTAATTTTTTTTTCTTCTTTAATCTTTTAATGACATTTTCTTGTCTTCATAAAGGTCTTGCATACCTTTGTTGAGAGAATTATAATTCTTTATCATTTTAATTGAATTTCTTATTTTTGGTTATTATAAATTGTATTTTTTAAAAATGATATTTGCAACATTATTGCTGGTATGTGCATGTGCGTTTGGCTTTTGCATAGTAATTTGATAACAGAAAAAACTTTCCAAACTCTTTTTTTTTTAATAGTTTATAAATGTATAGATTCTTTGGGATTTTGTATGAAGACAATTGATATAAATGATATAATAATGGCATTTTATCTCTTTCTCCTCAGTTCATCTATATTGTGTATACATGTCTGTGTGTCTGTTCGTGTGTTCATACACACTGGCTAAAGCCTCCAGTAACTACTGAAAATGGAGATAAGAGATATCCTTGCAGTGTTACTGATTTTACAGATAATGATTTTAATGCTTCACCATGGAGCATAATGTTTGATGTAGGTTTCTTGTAGATACTTGTTATAAAGTACAGGATGTTCTTTTCTATTTCTGGCTTACTAATAGTTTTTATCATGAATTGTTGAATATTATTGAATGCTTTTTTTTTTTTTGCATATATTGAGATGACCAGATCATTTTCTCCTTCAGGCTTTGGAAATATTAACAGATTTTTCTAACGTTAAACTAACCATGTGTTCATGAAAGAAACCTTTAAATTATTGGATTCGGCCGGGCGTAGTGGCTCACGCCTGTAATCCCAGCACTTCGGGAGGCCGAGGTGGGTGGATCACAAGGTCAGGAGATCAAGACCATCCTGGCTAACATGGTGAAACCTCATCTCTACTAAAAATGCAAAAAAAATTAGCCGGGCGTGGTGGCGGGCGCCTGCAGTCCCAGCTACTCGGGAGGCTGAGGCAGGAGAATGGCTTGAACCCGGGAGGCAGAGCTTGCAGTGAGCCGAGATCGTGCTACTGTGCTCCAACCTGGGCAACAGAGCGAGACTCCATCTCAAAAAAAAAAAAAAAAAAAAATTATTGGATTCAATTTGGCAATATTTGATTTAGTACATTTTACTAAATCAAATTTAAATCAAATTTACTTTTTATGAATAAGAAAGATTAATTTGTAATTTTCCTTTTTTATATTGACTTTGGTTTGATATTAAGGTTGTACTAATTTCATACATTTGAGGCAAGATTTATCCTTTCTTTTCTGTCTTGTTAGACTGCGGGTTTGGTGTTTTCTTGGTAGGATTTTTGTTAAGAATTGATTTACTTTCTTCAGTAGCTGTAGGAACATTTAGCTTCTCTGTTTCTTTTTTAGTTTGTTTTAGGAATTTACATTATTGTATAATTTTTCTATTTCACTTAAGTACATTTTATCTGAGGTAGACTTAACTGTTGATTTTCTCGGGGACTATTAAGATCTTTCTCAGTAAATGTTTTGTGAGTATAATTATAAACAAAGGACTCTGACATCCCTTGACTTTTTTGATCTTAGAGCTTCCTTATCTTTTTAATGTTGTTAGTTGTGCCCTAATTTGTTTCCCTTGGTTTGAACCTGGTTTGGATGTGCCTGTTTAATCTATAAAAGTCCTTGTTAGGCTGCATGCGGTGGCTCACGCCTGTAATCCCAGCACTTTGGGAGGCCGAGGTGGGTGGATCACCTGAGGTCAGGAGTTTGTGACCAGCCTGGCCAACATGGTGAGACCCCATCTCTACTAAAAATATAAAAATTAGCCTGGTATGGTCGTGGGCACCTGTAATCCCAGCTACTTCAGAGGCTCAGGCAGGAGAATTGCTTGAACCTGGGAGATGGAGGTTGCAGTGAGCCAACATAGTGCCATTGCACTCCATCCCAGACAACGGAGCAAGACTGTCTTAAAAAAAAAAAAAAGTCCTTGTTAATGGAAATCTTTTTTCTTAGATGCAGTTCTGGGAGGGTAATAAATATTAATAATTATGTATTTTGTTTTACATTTCCGCCGGATGAATTGGCTTGACTGATCTTCACTCAAAATTGGGACCAAATCCAAATGATTTTGATAGTTTAGAAAAGTTAATGCTTTATTTTGTTTAAACTGTCATAGCCTCTGAACATTGTGAGGTTTTGCCATAACCATTTAATTATGGAGATAGTTTCCAATTTTTTTAATGATAACTTAAAAAAAAAAAATTGGTTACTGTGATGTGCAGTGGAGCATAGCAGACTTCTTTTTCATTGATGCTGAAAATGGAATGTCCCCAAGTAGTAGAAGGGAACTTTGGAGAAGTAAAACTATTGCTAGATGGGTTTGGGTGGTTCAGTAAACCTTGCAAAGGCAAAAGGCTTATATCAAATATGATCTTCTTTTTCTGTAGAACTACTGCTGACACTATATATTTGTAAGTCACTTTATATTAAAGTTCTCTTTGCTCCAATTAACACATCTTTGCTATGTGTTGCCGATAAGTTAAATGGCAGTTGGCCATTGGCTTACTGAGAATCATCATTTCTTAGTGGCTAATTGTATGAGTGTAAAAGCCGAGATTGCTCACTTATATAAATTATCAAAAGATGTAAGAAAAGTTAAAACTCCTTCTCAGATTTCTATAGTAAACAACCCATACACTTTCACCTAGAGTTTACCATTAACATTTCACTTCTATCCCTTCCATCCCTTTATTAATCATCTTATTCTTTTAATTCATTTCAAAGTATATTGCATATATCAGTATGCTTTTCACTAAATACTTCAACATACATATCATTAACTGGAATTTAATAGTTGTTTACAGCTTTTTTTTGAAGTAAAATTTATGGAAAGTGAAATGCATAAACCATAAGTGCATATTTGCTAATTTTTGACAAATGTGTATGCTTTTGAAACCCGAAGTCCTTTCAAGATACAGGACATTACCCTCACCCCAGAAAG